CGAGACAGGCGACAGCTAAACTAACGGGATGCAGCTCATAATGTTATCATAAATTATCATAATTACCTGTATTATTTCAATGCATTTTTGGTGTGATTATGCGCCTTACGTGGCTTAAGATCTAGGGCCACGGTCTATCAGCCGGGCCCTGCACGGTCTTCTGGCCATCGTTCCGCATCTTCTACTGACATGACGAAGGGGTCAATGACAACAACAACAAGAAGACGGTAAAATTATCCAGCAATCACCGCAGCACTATCAATTGGGGTAAATGTGTGGCTGTCTAAAATGCAATTACCCAAGCGAACCACCAGGCTTGTTGGGCAGTTGAAGGTACTTTGATCGGTACTTTCCCCAGGAGCCGTTTAATTCCCCTCGAATGTCTTGGCTATTTATTTGGTAATAGTGGACGTAATATTATTGCCATGCTACAACACTTAGATCGTTCCTTCTGGTCAAAACTTCTTTGCTTTCTACCGCCTTCTTCTCTCCTTTCCCCCCACTGTATTCCCTTGCGGTGCGTTTCAGCCAGACACGATGGGAGCGCCGTGCCGACTGGGCCAAGCCTGTCCGGCAACCTAATCGACGAAGGGCAATGATGACCGACAGACATAAGAACGCATGTACACTCCCCGCACCCTCAATTACCGTCGGATAATTACTTGCCGATGGATCAAGAATGATTGGAGAACTGCACCAGCGACGCGTCCTTTTAAAGGGTTGATTCTTTTGCCGAGAGGTAATAGCATCCACATCGGGTAGATACTTTCTGATAGACGGCTGGATGGGCAGGGCAAGTCCCGTTAACATTAAAGTACCGTGGCACGGCTCAGAAGTTAAAATAATATTACCGGCTCCCAACTATAATAACAGACTTCCAGCCCGCCTTACTCCCAGCATCTTCCGTCCGTCTTGAAGCAAACAATCAATTAACTAGGACCCAGTGCTGTATGAGGTCATACTTGCATGGGTGAACTGCCGGCTCTACTTGCTTGCCTCTATCCCTGATGCTTGCCCTACTCTGAATCTTCTCCGGTCTGGGAAAGTCAGGCCATGGTGGCCCTGATGAACCTCCTACTCGTTCCGGTAATCAAGCCGCGGTCCAGCCCATAATTTTTTTCGGAAGATAATCGATAGGTTCGGAACATGCGTGGAGAGAAAATCGGAAGCTCGAGGGTCGTCCTGACACCGAAAGCCAGTTGAGAATTAGGCAATACAGCTGACTGGGTATCCTCCACACTCGTCTCGAGACTCCTCCATCTTGGTGATGTGAGTGGTGGACGGACTACGGAGATATGCCGGACGCCCTGTTTTGCGTCCTATGATAGAGAAAATAAAGCATTCTAGGGACGGGGGTGGAACAAAGAAGGGAAACGGAAAATGGGGGGGAGGGAGACACAGAACAAAGGGGAAGGGAGGGGTGGGGAGGGGAATGGAAAAAAAAAAAAAGATATCCGCGAAATCATAATAGAATTAAAAATTAAAATGAGAAATAAAAGTGCGGAAAGGAAGTGAAAGTGGAGAGCGAGGGAAAAATAAAAAATTAAACAGAGAAATAAATATGTAAAAAGGAAAAGGAAAAGTTACAATGAAATTGCGAGATTCTAAGAGCCAAAAGAGTCCAAAATATGGAAAACAAAAAAAAGAAAACAAATCCTACGTTAAGAAAATTGTTAGAAGGATGATCCCAGTCAAGCTGAAATAATAGTGGTTTAGGTCATAAAGCAGCAGGGATGGAAGCGATGTGATCGACAACCCTTCACAAACTGTTTGTTCGATCTTGTCATAACGTCTGAAAGTACTATGCTGCCACTTGGCTAGTCGTCGAGGCGTCCACGCCGAATCGTGTTTAGTAGTAGCACGAAATTGTGCATCCGTTTTGATCCGTCCTGACCCTCCCACCTTGTTGTTCCTCGCTGGGGTACATGCAAGGTACTAATCAACTCCCCTCCGTAGAGACAAGAAGAAACTCACGCTGACTCTGGGCCCTGGTTTGGTTGATGCCCTATGGGTGTTTGGTTGTTGCTCCGCAGTCTCCGTCCGAGCCGCTGGTTCCTCTCCTGTCTCGTCGTTGTAGCATGACTGTCTGGAAACATCAAACCGACCGTACTACTCCGTATACGGAGCAAGGCAGGAATAGTGGCCTGCGACCGCCTGCATGCCCTGCAGCAAATGCATCATCGGCCCGAGAGTAAGTTCTGTGTTGGTAAGGAATCCATGGGCACTAGCCCTTATAGGTGGGCTGAGGCAGAGAAAAGGGTTCCTTTAGCACTGCTCGGCGACCAGTGATTCGTCGAGACACAAATTATTATCACCAGCTCATGACAAATTGCGGTAGCCGACCACAATAGTTGTTGGGGCTGCGGGAATATCAATGGCTGCGGCCCAAAAATTCCCACCATCTCCACCCGAGACAATGTTGGTTTTTCTTTAGCAATCTGGCATCTCCACCATCTCATGCAATAATCTGATTAGCGCCAGTCGTGCGTGCCGGCAGATGTGTAACCACGGTCTGTCACGGATGCAGGCCGCTCGAGGACCACATTGGTCTGGAGATGGGATGTAACGACTAGCGTGGAGTTTGTCGTCATTGTTTCTCTGTCCACCCTCCCCTCATGTTGCCAGCGAGGTTCATATTTTTTTAAAAGGATCGACTGCTGCTTGTTTGATAGGATGTTGAAGCAGCCAGTCGAGGAATACATTCCAACTGGTTTCGCAATAGCTCGGATTGGCGAGCGTGAGCTGCAAACGTCACAGAATCCGGGTGAGAACCTTGAAACCGGTGCGACCCCCCTCGCAAGCCTGCGGAGGTGGAGGAAAAGCAATAGCCTGGGGTGCTAAAAACCACCCGCCCGGCTAGAGGGCCACTGGAGCTCACCTTTCGGCCGGTCGCTGTCGAGGCGGAGGAGCACAGACGCCATCTGTCCCCCAGTAGGTGCAGGACGATACCTTCTTGGCAGGCAACGGGCTGCGTTGCAGGCCTCTGCGTCAGAGTCCATGGTGACTTGATAACTAGCTAGCTGTCTTTAGCGCCCCAGTGCGGACACCTTGCGAGCAGGATAGTGTGAACCCGCACAGGTCATGGCGGGTCTTGTGTAGCGTCTCGACGACTCTTCCGCTACTCTTACTCGTCCGTGGTTTCTGTATCCGGAGCAAATGGTTTCATCCGTTCTTTCAAAAGTTCCGAGCGAGAAGCACATGTGCAGAACATGTGATGCTCTCTGTGGTTTCTGTGCGAGTTTTAGGTCGGCGCCGTATCCCCTTCTGCGAATCCCGACGGCCACGACAGTTAGATACGCCGCCTTGCTCTTTCGTTTGCAGCAAAAAGAAATAAACAAGCTTCATTGTTGGAATCAAACAACACGGTAAGTAATCAAAGGGTGGGCTGAAAAGAAGAAAACATAAAGTAAAGTATCGAGAAGAAAAAAGCAATCTATCAAACCGGCCAGTCTTTTGGACTCCTCCAAGCGCCATGCATATAACGGTACCCAAATCCGCAGATCATAACCCGGGCTTGGCCTTCTGGGGCCCTTGATATCAGTAATGAGTAAGACAAGCAAGAAGTGAAAGTACAGAATCAACAATATGTGCACAGGTGAAGTGAATACAGCATCAACACCACAAGACGGTATCGCTTAGAAGTCATGATAATCCAGAGTTAATATGAGAGACATGTAAAGCGTCGTAATGAAGGGTGTAGCGTCAGGTAGACTCCGATATAATCCCCGGAGGTAATGAAGCCAAGATGCGCCTGCTTCGATTGGGAAGAGGACCGTCGCTCCAGGCCAAAACGGGAAGGTCGCAATGTCGTTGCCGCTCGCGATTGATCCAAGATTGATGCCATTCAATGTCGACTACAGAGCAAGCATTTTCCAACCACCACGATGAACCTGTCATGCGGACTGTCTGGGCATTTGGCGTCTTTGGCTCCATCGACAGATGTCCGGATGAAATGTTGCGACGGTTCACGACAGGAACTGTAGATGTAGTAGTTCTTGAAGTAATTGCACATGTTCCTCGAGTTTCGATTTCAGCGGGTCAGGAAACGCAATGCAATGATGCTGGATGCAGTCGATTGAGCTTCGATTAGATAGAGGCGTTTTGCTGTATGCGGGGAGGCCAGAGGAGAGTTTCGGACTGGACGGGTATATGAAGCAATGGATGGATTTAGAATTTATCTGGAGCATTGACAAGGCTCGTGCTTGACAGTTTCTCAGGAATTTGTTGTCGACCTTTGTGAACTGACCTGGACTTGGAATAATATATCCCACTTCATGGTGGGCAGTAGTGTCTGTCTGTCATGCAAGCACCAGGGATAGGAATTTAAGGCCCATCACAAGCCCCGTTGCAGCAAGGTTAAACAGGGGGAACGAAAAAAAAAATAAAAAATAAAAAAGAAAAAGAAAAAGAAAAAAAAGAGAGCCAAATACATTGGATTTTCGAAATAGATAATTTTTTCTCGTCTCCCCAATAAGAAAATAGGAAAAAGATGAAAAATAAATTAAAAATAAATATTGTCAAAGGTATGCCCAACAAAGTCAATTTAGGTTCTCATCTATTTTTTCCATTTTTTTTTTTTTTGTTTTTCTATTCAATTTCAATCTTTAATTATAGACCCGCTCCACGAACCTCAGGACCGTTGAAGCCGTCCGGAGCAAACCTTGAGTACCTTAAGTCCCTGTCCCGATGCGGGTCCAAATATATCGGAAGCGCGTCAATCTCCTTTAAGGACAACAATGATGTCGCAACTACAAACTTTGAAGGAGCACCGGCGGATACCGTTCCACTGCGATGCAAAGCCCCATCTGCCGCGGATTGATCGGGTCAATGGGAGATCGACACGGTCCCTCGCAGCCGTTGATGCTTCACTTGCACGTGGCGCTAACTAGGATCTTCATGCATAGGCACTGGTGAGACTTTAGAAAAAACATAATTATTTGCTTGGGCCTCAGTCAGAAACAGGGCCCGGCAAACACGAAGGGGCTGTGAAACTGTTCGGTCTGCAAAAATTTAAGCCCGTGGTTCAAGAAGTCCCGTTCCAGGGAGTTGCTCCAATTGGCTAACAGAGATAGACTCTAGTCATCTCGGGATAGCCAGATAGATGCATTAGCCAATATCGGGTATGGGGAAAATCGTAAGTTAGTTCGTCAGAATGATGGGTCATCATTGGACAATGCAAATATCATGGTGCCTGGCCCGTCCTGCTGCTCTGTATTGACTGACGTCTTCTAATCCCTTTCACTTTTACATCGATCAACCTGCAACTGTTTGTCCCCTTGTCAGCTCCATGCAATTAATAACTTTATCCACAAGGTAATTTGACAACATGGTGCCACCACCATCACTGTAGCTCAGACCAGCTGTCCGACTAGACTCGGCTACGTGTGGCGGCAGTGCAGACCTAGCAATATAGCAGGAAGCCTGACAAGGAATGCACTCAGTCAGAGATACCACGTGCCAGCTTACAGGAAGTCCAACATCAACCAGTCAAGACCGATTGCAATTGGAGAGGAGGCCAGAATACCATCCATACAAGGGAATCGCAACCACCATAGTGCTGCGTTTAGGCTCAGCCACAGTAAGCTTTCATCCTGAGATTTTTTTCTACCCTTTCTCGATGGGTAATCAGAATGGCCATTGCACCGAACGCACGCCGGGTTGCCGTTAATTGTTTGTATCGTATGCGTAAGCTTCCGGGAGATCGGGGAGCAACGGTGCCAAGAACATAGTGGGATCCTTTTCACCTCAATTATTGGCGTGGGTGCTTCGCTACCCTTTGCTAGCAGGTAAAAATCAACAGGACTATTATGGAAGGATCGGGTGTTTTCCGTAGACACACAAGTAGGTACCAAGTGCCCACTCAGATGGTCCCATATGCAGAGAGTCTCGGCCCATTGCCAACGGGGTATAAACCTAGTAGGGCGGTTAGCGGGAGTTTGTTATCGGCAAAGGGGTGTGAGGTATTTTTCCCCTACCTTTTTTCTTTGCCTTTTTACTTTTTTTTCTCCCCTCATCTCATTATTTCTTTCTTTGCTGATCTACTATCTTCCCAGGGAAGTGTTAGCAAGTGTTCTGGGGCAAGCAATCGGATCTCACTCACTAGACCAGGGTACAAGTGGCGAAAGAATCGACCTTCCTGTCCTCGGCGATGTGATTCGATGTGAGTGCCTTACTTGACCGGGACAAAGCAAGGTGGTTTACTTGCTTGATTGCCGGGGGGAGGGAAGAGAAGACGGGATGGAGCATGGATAGATTAACCCAGTGGGAAGACAAGTAGATAGTAACAAACAAGACCCATATGAAAGTAGTGCGTGTAGAGCAGAGTCTGAGAAAGAACTATTGTATTAGTGAGACATCGCGAAGGCCGAAGGGGCCACAGTAGTAGAGCACCTAAGGATGTTGGTGAGCTTGATCCAAGCCCGAGATAGGATGGTGTGCGGGGCTAAAAGGAGTTCCCTGGAGGTTTGCGAGTCAGAACCACGGCGCATCGTTGACAGCCATTCCGGTTAGAGGTCCAAGCTCGGCATTTCCCGAGTTGGACTCGGAGGTTAGGCGGGGTATTATGCCACAAGTCTGTCCTTTTTCTTTTCTTTTCTAATTTTTTTTTTCTTTTCCCCTCTAATTTATTCACCCTTTCTACAAAATTTATTACTACTGGTACCTAAGGTAGTATCTAATTTCATTCAATCTTTACTCGCTAAATCATCCACCTATAATCCCTGCTCTTCCTCATTTCCTCTCACCCACACCCTTGTCAATTAATACCATCGAGATGCCGGGATTGTTGCCTGGCACCTTTCTAACCCATACTTCGGCTGATTTGAAAATAAGGGAGAATTTCTGAAATCCCTGCGATCTTCCCGAGATTTTCACAGAAGGACCTATTAAGATCACCAACGGGTCAAATCATTGAGAGTGAGCCACATGTACTACATGACTACAAGTACCTACAGGCAAACTACTGCTACTGACTTATGCATCTAACGGGGAGCTACTTCCTACTTGAGTACTACTACTGTTCCATACAGCGCACTCACCACCTCAATCGATCGTTTGACTTGCTGTACTCTATACCAGCTACAGAAGTACGAACGGAGGCCATAAAGGAAACGGGCAAACGCCGAAATCCCAGAGTACTTTAGTGCAGGCACTAAGGACTCCCCGTACCTAAATTTGTAGTGATCCTCCTAGCTATGTACGACTGGCCAACGCAGCCTAACTAGTAGTAATTAAGTACTAACTACGGAATCGTTAGTCCGCATGGGGCATAGATACTCCAATCCCGGACTAAAGAGATAGCACTATCAACAACCTTCCCATTGCAGTTAGCGCGGCGCTCTACAAAAAGTAAAAACCGCATCTGGGGAGATGCGCTAGTCCTAATCCAGTAACGGCTCTCTTTCCCCCAGTCAGATTCCCGATCAGGCATTAGTGCAACCCCGTGATCCTGCTTCATCCTGGCAGTTCAGCGCCCAGCGATCTTTTCCCACCATCTGCCTCCTCCTCGTCGACCCAATCGCATCGTGGTCCTATCGCTTTCGATAGGGTCCTCGGCGGTCTACTACCGGTGCTGCTCATCCTCAGATCTTGTTCTGCTGTCGCTGCAACAGCCACGTCATTCCTAGTGATCGCCCTCCGGTCAAAGGAGGGGTCGTGCTCTTTGGCTCATCTGGAAACCCGCCCGTCGTTGTGGAGACCGGTTGGATCCGCCCATCTCGTGCAGGTTATCTGTCGACCCAAACAATCGGACATCACACAACTGTCTTTTTCCATCTGTTGAGCTAGCTCTGCTATTCAAGATGGGCTTTGGCGATTTTGATTCGATATGCGAGAAGGCCCCTTTGCCGCTATGCTCCCTAGTGGGTCCACCATCTTCAATATCGGGCTCCACGGGCATCATACCAAATTGTTATGCGCGGAACATTGAGCTGGCCAATACAATCATCTTCGAAGGGGCTTCCTGCTTCCTCCACATCATCGCGCTGGGGATGACCGTGATTATGATACTGCACATCCGGTCCAAGTTTACTGCTGTTGGTAGGCTTCTTCACTTTGTTTTTGTGTCGCGCTACTACGCTTTCTCGTTGTGAACGGAATCGAGTGGTCCCCGAGAGCTAAACATCATTGACCAACATCATACTATCACAGGTCGCAAGGAAATTATTACGTTTTTTTACATCTACATGGCTCTAACCCTATGTTCCCTGATCCTTGACGCAGGGGTCGTTCCACCTGGGAGTGGCCCATTTCCTTACTTTACGGCGGTGCAGAATGGACTGGCATCGGCACTATGCACATCCCTGCTCATCAACGGATTTGTTGGTTTCCAGCTCTACGAAGACGGAACCATTCTCTCTGTCTGGCTTCTTCGGCTTTCTTCCGCGGCGATGTTTGTCATCTCATTCCTGGTCTCTCTCGCGACTTTCAAGTCGTGGGGAGGCCTGGGTCCCACCAACACCGTCGGCATGTTTGTCGTTCTGTATCTCCTAAACGCTATTTGCATCGCTGTGTATCTGGTAATGTCATTGTTACTGGTAATGAACACCCTCGAGGACCGCTGGCCTCTCGGCCACATCGCGTTTGGTCTCGTGGTCTTCATCTGTGGTCAGGTGCTCCTCTACGCATTCAGTGACACCATCTGCGATAGCGTGCAACACTACATGGACGGTCTTTTCTTCGCCACGTTCTGTAACCTCTTGGCTGTCATGATGGTGTACAAGGTATGTATTTCGATATTTCTTCCAGAACACTGAACCCTGCAATATCTCTGACACGCACCCCTGTCTAGTTCTGGGACTACATTACGAAAGAAGATCTCGAGTTTTCCGTCGGAATTAAGCCCAACACCTGGGAGGTCAAGGAACTCCTTCCGGATGAAGATCGCCGCCAGACAGGATACTACGCTGATGCAAATTCGGAGTATGCCGGGAGCATGTATCATCAGCGCATGTCGACCTATCACGGCCATTAACACCTAGCCTAAGACTTCACTTATGCCTTCCTTCGGCGGCCCACGCTCACGCCAAAACTGCATCTTCCGTCCGCCCGTCGCCGAACGACTGCCTGTCGTTGTTTCCTAGTGTAACTCTAATCGCTGCAGTCACACGCAATCATTATCAAATCTAAGCATAAATCGGCAATGTGGGTATCTATAGAGCGAAAGTTAGGTTTATCTTGGTATTTTCTCTTTTCTCATCATTATTACTACAAACAGCCTGGTTCGTGACATTCTAGCGGTATTTCCGGTCTCTGTCTTGTGGCCCAATGAAGTCCCCTTCATGAGCGTGGAATTGAAAGTTACGCGTGATCTGTTACCAATATTTGCTTTTTTACTTTTTTCTTTTTGGTTTCCGCTATCGGCCCTCCGCTAACGTCAAATAAGAGACTGATAACGTGCCCCGCGCCGGATAAACCTTTTAAATCTAGTATTGACAACATTTGTTTGATTAAGTATCTTGCGCATCGATTCATGTTTCTTGTTTTCATTTTATTCTCATCTTTTTTTATATATATTATTACGAAGTGTCTCGCAGCATATGTAAATAACATATCATTCAAATTGCCTAAGGACCCCTTTTCCCCATCTGGAAAGAAGTAAGAAGGATTCGGTGGACTAGGAGCACGGTGAACTTTAAGTTAGTGGTCTGATTTGATGGGTTGAGTTCTAGGGTGGTGGAAAATCGTACATTGGCCCTAAGAAATTGAAACATGCTGCGCTACTGAGCTGCTGGCCAGTGGAAATCAAATCCGGCAGCTCCTGGTAAGCCCACTAGAGCGAGGTTTGTTAATTGCCGGTCACTCGGAACGGGAAAGCTCCACGACTGTCGGGAAAATCCTTAGGGCCTAGGGTAGTTTGGCCTAGAAATTGCCCCTCAGGGGGGGAAGAAGGGGGAGAGGAGGGGGAAAGAAAAGTGCTGGCTGCATTGCCATAGGCGATTGGTTTTGTTTTTTGCTTAGCTGCCTGGCTGGATGGCCCCGCCCCCATCTCCTCCGTGTCCGTCTCCGTCGCTAGTAAGTAAGTCTAGTACTAAGTAGTAGTCTGACTTGAGGTGATCGGACCCTCGTCCTTCAGCCACACGTCTGTTCAAGCCTAATCCTTGCAGCGGGTGAAACAGATTACGTGGAATAATCCGCTTTTTGTCGACTGCAAGGATTGCTCTGGAAGGGATTCGGATTCTTTTTCTTCCTTCTGGCTTCGGTGATTGGAGGATCAAGCCGATGCGGTTGTCGAGGGACCGCGATCAGTATCGAATTGGCAAGAGACAATCCGCTTGGCTATATTGTTTTGGTTCTGGGATGGCCATAGTGCGTTCATGTCTCAGGCTTATTTTCTTTTTTTTTTTTTCCCTTTTCTTCCTTTTCACTCCACGACTACAACGTCGTCCCCGTCCATGAACCCGCTATCAGTCTGGTCTTTGCTACGGTCATCGTCGGACCGCGGCATGTTCCCGTCCACCTCTTCAATTGGCCCTGTGGCCGTGGCGTACCAGCCCTTGTCAACCGACTCCACCAGTACTTTGCATGCATCAGACACGAGTAAATTAAAGGCTGGATTCTCGTTCGGTAAAAACATGCTAATGTGTGCTTTGATTTCATCTGCAGCTTTATCGTTCACGGCTCTGGCCCATCGGATGTCTTGTTGGGAAGACCCCGAACTTTCTACTTCCGCGGGAAGCGAGCAGAAAGTGCGATTCTTCGAGCGTATAATCTTCTGGCTGAACGACGATGTCCCGACGTTCTTGTTCTCCACTAGATCACTCGCATTTTGGCCTAGGCACGTATAGAAATTAGTGCAGCCGATACCTCGGTCCCTTTGAACTTCGGCAAGGAGTGCAAGGCGCCTCCGTAATTCAGAAGGCCGTGCTAAAGAACCCACAAATGACAGGTGGGATGATACCCAGCCCCAACCATCCGTCAGTCGGTCTCGCTGTGAATACATCGCGGCCGCCCCGCCCGCAGCCAATGCTCCTGCAGCTCCTGCAAACATGGCATATTTGCCCCACCGTTGCCATGATGGTGTCGCGGCAGCATCTGCATTCGAAGATGAGCTAGGAGCCGAAGGAGGTAGACTTTTGTTGGAAGCTTTTCCCTGGTCGGTAGATGCCTTATTTGAAGAGTTACCGCCTAGGCCGAACAAGCCGGCAACTTCTGATATCGCAGTGTATGCCGTAGTGGCATGTCGGTAATGACCTTCGGCACCATATGATATGACACCCGGGGCAATGCCTAGAAAAGGAGTGTCGAATGCGATAACACCCTGAATGTGAGGAAACATGAAAGAGTGCGCCCCCACGGCAGATTCAGAATCCACTAGGGTGTCGGTTGCAGAGTCTGCAGAAGACGGTGCAGGAATCGGCTGTTCCGATGCAAGCAGAAGAAGGGTCTCGGCAGCAACTATTCCACCCATAGAATGTCCGAGCAGAATAACATGCACAGAAGGATCAACTGTCGGTGAAGCCGTCCGGTTCGAGACTTCCAAGTCGATGACTTTGTTCTGAAGCCTATGATTGTCAATGGCACGTTCCATCCACTCGGGAGAAATCGCATGGGTTACTAGACGTACCATTCCCGAAAGTTACTTACGCATCCTTTTAGTTCGCCTCGAGTCTCATACTTTGGGTAAACAGTGGCGACGACCTGGACAGCGGGGAGGGCACGACTAATCAGACCACAAAAGCGCCCTGGAAACTCTCCAAACGTATCATCATCTCCCTGTGGGTGTTAGTAGTGAGGTTCAGAGTATGCAACCCGTAGGGTCCATGCACGTGCAGCCTCAAAGGAGAGAGACGGGCTGGCTGGGAATGGGTGGAGCATGCACACGGTACCTTGAAGCCATGGATGAACACTAGGAGCAGCGTCTTCTTCATCGTATCACACCGGATAACCCGGAAGGTACATTCCCCCCTTTCAATATCGAGTACTTGTACGACTAACTGAGAGTACGCCCGTAGAATGGGTGGACTGTGCGAAAAGGTGGAGAGGCGCGAGAAGAGAAGATCTCGGTCGGCTTGAAATAGGCAGCTACGTCATCGGGGATTCCGGCCACGTGACAGGTACATTTACATCGAATCACCATTGCACATTCACCACATTTACTACCTATAAGACGTTTTGTGACTGATACCACTGATTAGATGCAGCGGACGGTAACTTGTGCCTTTGTTTCACTGAAATTTCCTCCTACTGCCTGTCATGTGGAATTTAGCTGACACTTGACTACACTCACTATATATTGGCAGGCTTAAGTGGTATAAGCCTACAAACTGCTCATCAAGTTGCAGGGCATGTAAATCATTATAATGAACTACCTCCTGCCCGGAGATCAAATATGTTGTTGCAACAGAGCATCTCAATCCAGTAGCCGATCGCCCTATATAGTATATAATTACACTTGGCTAGTATGATAATTGGTCACTGACACCGCAATGGAGACCTTCATGAACTCCAATGAAGAAAGCAACATGTGATGGGGATACTATCATCAACAATAGCAATAGCATGTTATCCGAGTCTGTTCATAGCTCCAATTCGGACACAGCTGCAACGGATTTATGATGCCAGACCAAGATTACCAGGTACGAGAATGTAGATGGCCTGTAGGCTCATGAATCCTTACAAGAGCGCAATCGTTTCGCAAAACAGTCACCTTTGGATAGACAAAAGCCCAGGTTTCATAGGTATCTTGACCATCTGATCACTGGGCTTCCGAACAAACCACTTCGAGCGTCTATGTGTGTGCCAGCGTGCTGAACCCTATATGCATCAGAACCCTATTAAATAGGGCATAACTAGCTTGATTTGAATACTAGTATCTGATTTGGAATTTCATCACTGCTACCTTTGGTGCAGGTTTGTTTGATATTGATCTATCCATATGCTATGGAGTACATTTCATAAACACTCAACTCTTAATGTAAAACCCGTGCACAAATCCCAGAAACCTGTTAGTACGAGTATAATGCGGCTTGACGAACTGAATATCATAAACTACAGTGTTTCGATCTCTATGATCCTGTAGACCAGTGCTCAATCTTACAGGCCATGCCATTCATCACGGGCAACCTAAATCATCATGATTAATGACACGACTCCCCTAGCAGCCACAGTCAAAACAACAATTAGCGGCCAGTCTAAAATTATAGATAACTGCAAACAACTATATACTTCATTGTATCCACGTAACACCTGTACAATGCCCCCAAAGATCTAAACAACAGTCTATACCTCCACCCAGATCAAAGCTTCCCCCGAGAACTCGTCAACCGCAACAAACTATCCTGATAACTCGTAGCCAACAACTTCCCATCTGGCGTCCACAACCAACTCTCATGAACCGCCCGATTCTCCGCAGACCTAGGAGTCCACCCCTCCTGTATGAACCACTTCTTCCCCGGGCCCCCATCCGTCTCAGAAGCCCAATCAAGCATCCGCAACGCCTCCCCCAACTCGTGAAACACAACCGTAAGCGTCAAACTCGCCATAGACGACCACCTCGTCTCCCCCAATGCCCTTGGAATCAACAACAACGAATTCCTATCACAAGCATACATATGCGCGCATGCATACAAGTTATCGAACTCCCCCGCTTCCTCCCTCTCCCTCACCCTCCTTTCCTCCCCACCAACTATCGGAAGCCCCTTGATCGAATACATCGCCAACTGGCGATACTTCTCCGGATGGCTCTTCACATCATCCGTTTGATTGAACGTCCCCATATCAACCTTTCGCACATCCACCCCAGGAAACTCCCTTTCCGTCAGATCGCCAGTCTTCACCCCTTCAATCCACCAATCTGCATCCACGCTCGGACTGACGGGGTACTCCTCCGCTTTCTTTCCAGCGATAACAGAAGCATACAGCTCCTGCACAGGCGCAGGCTGATGCGAAAACCCGCTCTGACCTTCCCCTCGCTTGAAGGAACATAAGCATGAGAAACAGATCTGGTTCGCTTGTCGTACGTCCACGGACCGTGTGCAGTACATCTTTCCATCGCGCAGGTGGCGCACTGTGTACTCGTATGGAACGTCTAGGAGGCCTCCTAGGATGAACGTTCCGCTTACGCTCTGTGTTTTTGGTGTTAGTGTGTGCTTTTAAGGGGTGAGCAGGTAGGTACTTACGTGGATCACGAACCCCTTCTCTACGGTTTGGGATGCTGCGTAGGCAGCCTGGGCGTAGACATGTCCGCCGAAGGCACGGGTTCCTTCGCCTGGGGGATAGGGTGGCGCTATGGATTCGAATCGTTCGGTGGGCTCCGTGGTACTGCTGCTGGGTGGGTTGGGGAGGCGACGGAGTGCCATTAGCTCTGCCCAGGAGGATGGGCTTTCGTCGGATGTTGGGTCATGCATTGTGTGTATGTACAATGTGGGATGGTGTATTGTTGGGCTTATATGCTGCTGCTGCTGATGTTGTTGATGGTGGTGGTGTATGCGTGAGGGGTTATGCTCCGGCTGGGATGTATGTACAAATGACTGATGATGCCTGCCTGCTTCAATCTGTAGTATATCCACTGTACAGTGCAACGGCAGGAATGTTATGTTCGAGATTGCGCCCCTTTACTCTTCACATGGGAGAATGATAAGGGTGAAAGTGGGATTGTATGTTGGCGCTGAGTCTATCGACTGACTACTCATTTAGCCGACATGGTTCACCAGAGCCTCGGCTGACCGGGCGGAGTTGGTTGGCTACCCGTGAAGCATATTCGATGATCAACATGGTGCCGTTCCTGGTATGCTCCCCATATGGCAAGGCTGTGCCGATTATCCCTTTATGTGTTTTGCAGTGTTCATACTTGGGGTAAGCCTGGATCATCATTGTTCCATTCCCTTGCGCATATCGCTGCTTTAAGGATCCGTGCTGCAGTGTAACCGGTAAAAATGAAGTGATTCCGATAGATTGGGGAGCTGACGTAGCAAATATCACAGATTTGTCTATTTCTATAAATCTATCAATATAGACACACGCTCCTCGAAGCGTTATGGCCACACCTCCATCATCTGGAGTATCTCCCTAATCCCGAGACGGATGTTCCAATGCTCATCCGTCGTAAAATGCATATTGACACAACTGCACAGAAGAAACAGATCACCATCTTTATTGACCAAATCTGCCAATTAAGGTATATGCGCCGATAATGCTGATATGATATACAAAGAAACCCATCCCATAAATAATACATTGACAATTAAATCATTTTCCGTGTCCCAAACGACGCACAATCGCATAACTGCAACCAATCCACATCACATTCGAATCAGACTTAGAACGTCTCGGAGATGGTGCGGTTGTTGTTCCACTCGACCTTGCCATCGACGTGCTTGATCTCCTCCAGCTTGTCGCCCAGCTTGACAACGGAGAACCGAACCATCCGGGGATCGAGACCGAGAGTTCTGCGGACAGCCGATTGCACGGGACCCGAGGCATCGAAGCGCATGATGAAGTGGTGGCCTTCCTTGTAGCGGGCCTGATGCTTCGTCGTGGGCCTGGGCAGACGGAAGGTGCCCCAGTTGGTGAATCCGCGGACTACGCCGCCGGAGCGGAGGACCTGGATGCCGGCATTGCGGGCGATGCTGTCGTCTGTCAGTGATATTTCGAGGATAATGATGGTTCGGCGACAGAAGGATGTTGCGTAAGGATATGAGGTGGTCAAATAGGGTCGATAGGCACGTACTCTCTAACCTCCTGGAGGCTGCCGGGACGGACCTGCGGTCATCAATTAGCATCAATTCAATGTATATAATAAAGTTCATTAAACAGAATCGTCTGGAAACATACAACAGCAATCAGTTCGTACAACATGGCGCCGACAATGTGGAGTGGGGTCTGGACTGTGAAAATAGCGTCGGGGAACGTAAAGGACGACGGAGAACCAAACACGGAACTGGAAGGGGATGAGATTTTTCCGAAGGTCATTTGCGGAGGCTCGAACTCGACTTCCTTATCAGCACCCGGCTTGGCGCCCGCTATCAGCGCCGGGAATCGCTCTCTCCTCCGTCATTCATATTTAATTTACTTCCCTCTTTCCTTCTTCCTTTCTCTCTCCAATTCAACTCACACTTTCTCACTTTTCCGGATTCTCTCCTCTCCCTCTTCTCTCCCCTCAACTCCAGCTGCCCACCATGTCTTTCGCCGCCAGATCCCTCCGTCCCTTCGCTTCTCGCGTCCTGTCGCAGAAGCTCCCCCTCTCTTCCGTCTGCAGGGCCGCACCCGCCAGTTTCCCGCGGGGAAGTGTCCGGAGCTTCTCCCAGAGCCCACTTTGTGAGCAACCCCCTAGATTTCAGTCGCATGAGGGCATTCAGACCCCCTAGGTTGGATTCAAAGCTAATAGTTGACTCCCAACAGCTCAATTGAAGAAGTACACTGAGTCGCACGAGTGGATCGAGCTCGCCGAGGACGGCAAGACTGGTTAGTCCACCACAGCCTTCCCCAGCCAAATTACCCTCAACTGGCCACTAATGCCCTCTTCTACCATTTACAGCGAAGATTGGAATCACCAAGTACGCTGCCAACTCCCTTGGTGACGTTGTGTTTGTGGAGCTCCCCGAGGTCGACCTGGAGGTCAGCGCCGGTGAGCCTGTTGGTGCTGTTGAGTCCGTCAAGTCTGCTTCGGACGTCCTTTCGCCTGTCTCGGGTGTTGTTACCCAGGGCAATGCTGTGTTGGACGACAATGCCAAGTTCATCAACCAGAGTCCCGAGGGTGATGCCTGGATTGCGGAGATCAAGGTGAACGATGCCGCGGAGTTGGACGGACTGCTGGACGAGGCTGCCTACAAGGCTACTATTGATGAGGAGTAAGCGTGATATGTGTGAGAGTGCGTGTGTGGGCCATGAAGTATTTGAATGGATGGATTGCTCAAAGTCTGGGTTTGGATTATATGCGCGCCGCCGCTTCTGTGCATGGCGTCGAATTTATTATGATTGTTAAGTCATTTGAACTGTTTTCCTTTGTCTGGGGGTTTCATTGGGTATGATTGTTGTGTGTGGATGGTTATGTTTTCACCACATAATGACTGTCTAGAGAGCTGGCTACGTCATGCCGCTATCGGCGGACCCTTTTATTCAACAAAAGGCTGTCTGCGGTTATAAGAATATATGATATCACTGTTATTGGTCTGTCATGGCCATTGCTGGCTTTATAGAACGAACGGGCTGTACTTTTATACCCTAAGACTTGTGTTCAACGAGGATGGAGTCTACCACTAGAGATACTGCAGAAGTCCCAACTATTCGAAGTAGATGATATGAGCTATTAGAGACCGGTGCATATAATTATGCATACACTGGTTAGCTACAATGCTATTAGCTATATTGATACGACATACAGTATCAAGCACTACGAAAGCAGGGGCCTTCATCATCTCGGTACACCCGACTATACAAATTGTACCGCGATGCACAGTAGTACCACTATGCGAATGCGCCGGCCGGGCGGTGAGTCCCCCTCCACCTCGGATGGGGCCGAAAGCCAACCGACGAGGCCTGGAGTGATAAGGCTATCCCGCAACATTCCCGACCTCAGGCCCTTGCTTGTCTCCATACTTCACCTTTATACACTTTTGCGCGTGTTTCGCACGTGTAACGCGACTTTCTTCGAGCTAGCACCGAGGCCATTTGGCGCGGGTGCCAGCTCTTTGTCGTCATTCGAACATGGCATCCAATCTCCCTATCCCTATTCCTCCGCGCACCCCGACGCCTCCCCCGGATGACCCTCCGAGCACTTCAAGCCAGTCACCCCGTCTCCAAGACAAAGACTCCTTATCACCTTTGAGGGACACGTTTCCAAATTTGCGGGGCTCGTTAGATCCCAGTGATGCGAATCGCTTGAGTCCTACACGGGCGGGCTTCAACCTCAGCCCAGCAGACGCATTACAGCCGAGTGATCAGAGCGACAATGCTTCGGCAGGTCCGTTCAATTTCAAGACTACGACAATGGCGAAGAGCCCAGTCGTGAAGTCTGTGAGTTGTCGCTTACTGCCACCTTGGAGATGAATATACTAATGAAGCCGTCAATGCGACGTAGAACATTGGCCAGCGACGTGGACACAAGTATAAGCACAGTAGCATTTCACATCAGATCTTCCTGGAACCGCCCCCACGAGCCCCTCTAGCTTTGCCTAACTCGCTGCCTATACCGACGTTCAAAGAATACCGCTCCAGTATGTCCAAGGACCAGACTACCCGGTTCTGGTGGAGCGTTTGCCACATGTCTGTTGCTGCGTATACCCTGTGGAGTGCTCATGGATCATTGGCTATGACGGCCCTTTCGCACTTGATCCTGTTCGATTCAATCGGCGCATTGCTCTGCGTTGCTGTCGACATATTGGGCAACTTCGAAGTATGGAAGCGATCCAGTGTTCGACACCCATTCGGATTGGAGCGCGCAGAAGTGCTTGCAGGATTCGCCATGTGCGTACTCTTGCTGTTCATGGGAATGGATCTCATTTCCCATAGTCTGCAGCACTTTCTTGAATCTTCCGGCCACGAACCTCACCACACTCATGTCCACGAGCGTGTCTCCCTCGGTCGTGTGGATTTCACTGCTCTGCTGGCCATCTCATCGACCTTGATCTCTGCCATTGGCCTCAAGAACCATGGACGGATAGGGAAGGCGATGCGATTCGGGTACATTGAGTCACTTCCCTCGGTTCTTAGTAACCCGTCCCATTTCCTGACGCTCTCATGCTCCACGCTGCTCCTGTTGCTGCCCCTTGTCTCTATCAAGCTATACAACTGGCTGGATGTTTTGCTTTCCAGCACGATCTCCATTTCAATGTGTGTTATCGGAGTGCGTTTAGTAAAAACACTGGGATCCATGCTTCTCATGTCCTACTCCGGACCGGGGGTATCCGAGGTGATCCGGGATATCGAGGCCGATCCCTGCGTCTACGGCGTCGATGACGCCCGGTTCTGGCAGGTTCATTACGGGCTCTGCATGGCCAACTTGAAGCTTCGCGTATCCGGGACTGAAGAGAACCTAGTGCGACTGCGTGAACGGATAGCCAGCCTTATCAAGAATCGATTGGGCGGAGGGTACGGTTCTGGTGGGCAGAAATGGGAAGTTTCGCTGCAGTTCACGGCCGAGAAGGCATGAGCTGGCAGTTGTCATGCTGTACATATACGATCATATTTGGATTCAATGAAGATATACCGGAATAATAATACGATTTACTGGGAGTGGCGTCATGCTGTCTGTGTCCTCGCTTTAGGAGTAAATACCTGGTACCGAAAATAGACGGTGTTTCTTTCTCGCTAGAACTTCCCGCCTCTCCGTAGGCAGCAATCACTACTACTCTTGATATTTAATAGTGCGTTTATAGCAATTCTATAAAAAGACATCCGGGGCAACATGGCGTTACTTAGGCTGAATGGATCTGCTCCCGTGTTATCTATATCGGCAGTGGAAGAGTTGTTCTATCTATGAACAGTACACTCGCGATTACCCATAGATATGAATAACGATAGGGTAATTCTGCTACTATTACAGGACCTCCCTACCCTCGATATCTCGTTAGACGATACAACCAACATAGTAAGACACCTGAGATAGATCTATATCCATCTTCCTTCACCAATTTAATACCATCAAGCCTAGATCTAGACCTCCGGACCATTTTCCATAGACCTCCTCCCTCCAATCCCCCAGAAACCGCCAAAAACACCACCACGAAGACGCAGAAAATGATATAATGTAATATAATAGAATTCACAACAAACGCAATGTACAAAAGCCTCAGTTTTCCGGCCAGCTCTAGCACCCAACCCAACCACAATTCTTTCCTATCCTTCATCATCGCAACAACATCACATTCATTTATGCCGCCGCAGCCAAAACACCCGCCTCTTCAGGCTTGCTCAACCCCACCGACTCGCGCTCGTCTCTCCTCCGGCGCTTCTCCAGGATAGCTTCCCGGCGCTGTGCAAGAATTCTCAATTGACGGTTCTCGACGCCCTGCAGCCAGTAACCGAAGCTGCCGCCGACTCCGGCGAAGAGGGGGTACACCCAGAGGGACTCCTTGGCGAGGATGGGACGCATTTCAATACCGAGTTGCCAGAGACGGACGGCGATGCCTGTTGGAGTAGTTATTAGCACGTGCAGTATGGCATGGCGAGCGATTGAATATAAGGGGAGCGGATGGGAGATAGCTAGCTAGCAGTTGCATGCTGGTATAGCAAGGGTGGGTGGTGTGGATGTGGTGAACATACCGAAGCCGCCCCAGAAGAGGACTTTGTGAACCATGATTGATGTGGAGGAAAAGAGGGGGATTCGCGGCGGAAGGTAGGATTAAAAAGAATGGAAATTGATCGGAAGCCGCAACAAGGTTCCAATGTTCAACTTCACGACAACAATTGCGGACCAACACGGGCTTGAATCGACGGAGATGAGGTTCGACCTTCACACACCCGGCGAATCACGGGGCTGTGGTTCCCAATCTGCGTTTCCTGTTGTCCGGATTATCGTTCCGCCGTGGGAGGGCTGTTTCTGCCGGGCGGTCGGTGCCTTTTGGTCGGGTCCTGCGCGCCGCATTTGCGGGTTTATCCCCGGAAGTTCAGTTCCTTTTTTCTCAGAGCCTCTATTCTCATACTTCCCCAAGCTTGGAAGTTTTATTGCAAGTTTGTTACATCTCTCAGTCTCTCGTCATGGCTGGTCCAGAGGAGATGATGGATGTGACAGCAGGTGTGAAGCGGCCTACTACGTCTTCTTCTATGGATCTGGACAGTCTGCAGCGGAAGAAGTTCAAGACGGATGAGCTGCCTTTGTCCGCGGCGCAGCATTCGGCCATTGAGCATTTGCTGCACGCGTTCAAGAAGAGGGGTGGGTTTGATACTATTCGGAAGAAGATATGGTCTGAATTCCATGATGGGGTATTTATTTTATCTTTGATTTATTGCTGTTGACTCGTTTTCTGGATGAGGGTGTGTTGTTTGCTAATTAATGCGCCTTGCTTATATAGGAAGGGAAGGTTGAGTTTACGAAACTACTGGTCGAACTCGCTGAATCTGAAATTGACCGCGAACCCGGTCTTCTTTCTCGCGAACGTGGAAAAGCTGCAACTTTGATCGAAGGTGCGGTGGATCGAAGCGATGTCTACAAAACTGTCGAACATACCCTTGATGCGCTGGCCGAGAAACACCTCCCCGCTATCCTGAATTCTGTGCGCGATATTCGTCGCGACGAGGTGGGCGAGGAGCTTGCCGCGCAGGAGGAAACCGCAGGGAACAAAACTGATGAGGACTACGCCGCTCATGTGAAGGCGAAACGCGACGAGCGCGAAAAGGTCTGGCAGGAGGAGCTGCGCAAGCAGAAGGAGATAGAAGAGGAGGAAGCGCGCAAGAAGGCGGAGGAGGATCGCAAGCGACGTGAGTTGGAACGCCAGAAGGAAGAAGAAGAAAGGGCCAGGAGGAGGGAGCGCGAGGAACAGCGCCGCGAAGAGCAGCGAAAGCTGGATGAGCAGAGAGAAAAGGAACGACAGGAACGCTACGAACGCCGCCGCCGCGAAGAGCGCGACAGGTATCGCGATTGGCGCGATCGAAGCCGAACTCGAGACCGTGATTCAGATCGGGATAGGGATAGGGATAGGGATCGTTACCGTTACCGAGATCGCTCGCCAGGCTATCGCTCTGACCGCGCCCACTCCCCACGGTATCGCGACTCGCGCAAAGAAAAGTCACCGACTCCGAAAGAACCTACGCCTGCAGCTGCGCCAGCGGCGCCGCCAGTGGACGAGAAGTCGTTGGAGGAGGCGGCGCTACAACTGTTGCTGAAGGAGGGAGAAGAGCTGGCAGCCAAGGCACGACAGAAGCCCGAGTTCGACTTTGAGGAAGCGGAGGCCATCGAGAATGGTCTCAAGCCGCCGCCGAAAGGACCCAAGGCTGACTCGAGGTTCTCCAACACTCCGACCAAGGCATGTAGTCCGGCTGTCGAGGCCGAGCCCAACCGACGACGCGGATCAACAGCAGACGATCGCCCCCGGACGAAGAGGCGCGACGAGAGTCGCAGTCGCTCACGACGGAGGTTCTCCTCCCGGTTTGACGATGACCGTCCAGAGCGTTCGCGCGATGTATCCAGCCAGCCCCGCAATCGTGACTCTGATGACCGACTGGTTCTTCGCGATTTCCGCGATAACAGATACGGTGACCGGAGCTATCGCCCCAGCCGCCGGAGCAGAAGCAGATCTACTACTCGAAATCATGACAGAGACCGTGACCGCGACCATGACTACCGCCGCGACCGCAGCCGTGATCGAGACCGAGATCGCCGGGACCGGGACCGAGACCGGGATAGAGATAGAGATAGAGACAGAGACAGAGACAGAGACCGCGACAGACCTCGTGACCGTGACCGTGACCGCGATCGAGACGACTACCGCCGCCGCCGCAGCTACTACTCCCGATCCCGATCACGACCCCGATACCGCTCCCGTACACGCTCCCGCTCCGTCCACCGTGACCGCGACAGAGACGTCCGAGATCGAGACCGAGATAGAGACAGAGACCGAGACCGAGACGCCCGCCCTCGCGACACAACCGACCGCGAACGAGATCGAGGCCGAGACCGCGACCGCGCCGACCCTCCCCCCAAAGACGAGAAATCCCCTCCCCGTCGCGTATCAGTATCCTCGAGACGACGATCCCGCTCGCGCCGACGATCACGCAGTCGACGCCGCTCGCCGAGTCTCCTCGATATCGATCGCTACGTGCCGCCTACTAGTCGTCGGAGCCGGTCTCCTCGTCGGAGGGTGCGATCGCCGGAACGAGCGGAGAAAGATGAGCGTGATAGACCGCGCTTTGTTGAGATTGATCGGTATATTCCTGGTGCTACTGCTGCTGCGACTGCTACTGCCACTGGTGGTGGTGGTGGTGAGCGTGAGCGTGAACGTGATAGTGAGACTAACGGTAGGGATAGGGATAGGGAAAGAGACAGAGATAGAGAGAGGGATAGAGAGAGGGAGAGGGAGGGAGATGATAGGAGGGCGAGAAGGAGGAGTGTGAGTCGGAGGAGTGATGGGAGGTGATATGCCTATGCCTATTCCTTGGATGGGATTATGGAGGGAGCGAGGGACGATGGAAACGAAATAATCGATTGTAATATACCAAGGTAATGAATCTCATGGATAGACATTTATTACTACTGCTGAGTGTTATTTGATGGTGTAGGTCATTTATCTATTATTACTACTTCCTAGATGAATGTAGTGCTTCGCTCATAAGAGAATCATCAGTTGTTTGTTCAGCGAACTACTTACTACCCGGCTGGAATATACTAGTATGGTATAGTCTTCGTGGTCTATATGCTTCACAGCATGCACTACGTACTTGCTAGCTAGGAAAGTAAGCGCTGCAAGGCAGATATGAATTCTATTAGCAGTATATTTCTCTCTATCACGGTAGTCATATACCAACCACATAGATCATATCCCATTCCTACTTCTCCAATCCCAACCAGAACATAATATAATACCATACTCGAAAACATCTCCATTTCCATGTACAAGATCTAATCCTATGCACATACATACATGCTCCATCACCCTCCTCATACTCGGGACCCCAGTTTCTCTTACCCAGGGTGCTCACTAATTAAAGTATTCCTCAAAGAATCGATCATGTCTTACTCCTCTCCACCGCGTCCTTAAAACCCTCATTCTCATCATGCCTTTTATAAAAGTAAGCTGTGGAACCCGTCCCCGTTGGCCTTAATTCAGGGGATAATCGATCGATGATAGTCTGTTCGAGAGCCTTGATGGACCGTTCATTAGAGCCGAGCTTGTTCCATACGGAGATGAGATGCGAGTTGAATCGGACGGAGGTGGAGACGCCGAGAACGTGGTCGTGTTCTATATACTCTCCCCATTCTTTGGTTAGTACTATCATTATCATATCTCGCATAACTCGCAAGTTTACTTCTACTAGTAGATGATCCATATCATATAGAACAAGAGCAACACAACCGAAAGAAAGAAGAATGGGGGACAGGGGGAAAGCTAACCCTTCTCCAAAACCGCCTGAAACTCATTCGCCATACACAAAATGGCAATCTCATGAAAGAATGCCTGGGCTTTACTCTTCGGCACCCGGAAGCGCCAGCACCCCCCGTTCTGATTCTCGGGGTCTTCCCAGACGGGTTTCACGCCTTTGCGGAAGATGTGAACGGTGTCGCGCAGCCGGATCTTGTCCCACGGGTAGTTGTTGTACACGCGGTAGAAGGTGGCGATGTCGGCGACATCCTCGTGTAGGACGTAGAGACGCGAGTCGTAGTCTGCTGTTGCGGCGGCTGCTGCTGCTGGGGCGTCGGTGTGGCGGTCGTACCAGACTGTCCAGTGGTATTGGAAGGGGAGGGGACGTAGTTTGCCGAAGATGTTCTGGTGCAGGGATTTGCGGGTGGTTGGGGAGGTGGAGGAGGTGTCGCGGTCCTCTATGGGGCTTTTGTCGTTGATGTGGACGCTGGGGATGGTGCTCATTTTTGTGATGTGTGGTAGATGGTTGGAGAGAGTGTGTGTATACTATGAGTGTGGATGTGTCGGGTTATTTGTCCTGCGTGAGGATGTGGGTGGACATCGGGATTAATCCGGTTTGTGGATGGGATATATAGTAGTTCCCAGTGAAGAGAATCCTATTGTTTATGAGCAAGTGGGCAATGCATTGGGGCCATAAATGGCCATAAAGGAGGAAGAAGAATAGAAAGAAAGAGGAAGTAAGACAAGGGATTTGTTCGCACAGTCGGAGGGACAATGAGACAATGGAGCATAAAGAGATCTGACATACCCAAATGAATGGCGAGTGAAGCTATACCGGGAGTTCCCAGATACAACTTGTAACCAAAGCAGAGATGAAATCAGGAGACAATACAATAGTGATCTGTCTCAGGAGAAGGAGGGGAGGAGAGAGGGGATATGAGCGACTTTATCAATCACGCATTGACTCCACCAGAGCATCAGCATCAGCAGTAGCAGCAATAAGGAGAGAGTGAGAATGTGTGTGTGAGAGAGAGAAGGGAATCCATTCATTCACTAAAGTACACTCCAGACAATAAGTAACCAACAACCACCCCCAACACAGCCACTTAATGTGCCTGCCGCTCACATATGCAGGCAGAAGACACGCCGGACGGATAACTGGCCAGATCGATTGGTGTCATGGCGTCAGCTACTAACTATTCCATAGTTAGCAGCATTAAGGCTGCTTACACTAACTAGTCAGAGTAACTACGTAGGGAAAGTAGGGCCACGGCCACTAGTTAAGGAGTAAAATGGCTCTGACCCCGCCAATCCCGCGGGTTGGGTTTCCCCACTGCGGCGCCAATTTGCCCGCAGATTTCGGTCGATCCTGTTTCAATCACCACCACTGCTGTTACTTTTCTTTCCAACCATCTTTCTTGTATCATTATTGAACGCAATAATATGCCCTCCACTACGAAGCGCCAGGGAGCTGATCCCTCCTCCACTCCCACTACCACTACCACTTCTACCGCTCGCGATCTTGATCGGCGCGAACATTCCCCCGCTGACGACGACCATCTCCAACACACCGCTACATCCACCACTGGCCGTGAGGAAGACGAAGATGATGACGATGATGATGACTACACTTCCTCATCTGGATCTAGCGATAGTGACAGCGACAGCGACGACGATGAGGAAGATGAAGAAGAAGTAAACCAGAAGGAGACCACTACTACCTCCGACGACATGCCGCGCATTCCTGCTATACCTAAACCGCGTATCGGCCGCATTAACAAAAACCCTGACCTACTGTCCCGACTATCTGCTTTTCTGCCGCAGATGAAAACGGCGAATGAGAAGCTCGAGCAGGAGATTGCGGCGGGAAGGGCGAAGGATGTGCGATTGGAAATAGATGGGGATGATGATGATGATGATGATGACGAGGACGAGAATATGGAGGGTAAGCGGTATATTGAGATGGTATGTTTGATACAATATCTATGTATGGTGGTTGGGATGCTAACTGATTGCAGAATCTGGGACTAGGTGTGCTGGAAGAGAAGCGGCCCGGTGATGATGAGGAAGATCATCTCGAGTCGCAGGGTGGTCAGGACAATCAACATGTTCTGCCTGAGAGGCCGAAATCTGGCAAGGACTCGAATGTGCTGGATACTTTGATGGGCAATGCGGAGTCTTCGGCGGAGAAGGAAAAGCCGACGATCGAGGAGATATAAGAAAAATCTGCTGATTTGCATGGGTTGGCGCTTTGGGTTACTTGTTGTTTTTAAAAAGTTGGTCGCTACTATAGAGTTTGTCTGGGTTATTCGCATTTTGGCATAGAAGGAGTGGGTCTACAAAAGTGTTTCCGGCCTACATGTCATACAGTCTCTAGATTCATAGATCAAGCATAACATAATAATCATACCCAAATAAACACCAGCCAAGTTTAATAAGAATACACATGGAACGGAAAAATAAATCAATGATCTAGTGTATTTGCATGATATTAGACATGTATACGTCCAAGCGCACATGCGCAAGGTGGATTAAACCGTCGTCGCTGCATCACCTAACGTTGGTTCGTCTAGGAGACCTCCTTCACCCGGCAGGTCCAGCCGGATTCCTGGCTCAGCAGGGGCAAACTGTGATTCGTTAGTATCGTGCATTGATCCAAAGTAGTATAAAAAAGGGTAAATCTTACCTAGCACCCAAACACCAGCCAAGTTCGTTGTTCTTGATCTTCTTCGCAATCTTCACCTCACGCGACAAGGGCATCTCGTATCCCGTGTGCAACAGACCCAGCATAAAGTTCAGGTCCAGGCACCACTCGGGGCGATCGCGCAGCTGGGGCAGCGCATCCTCAACACCCTCGAAGATGCCCCATGCGGGCTCACCCGCGCAGACCGTCGACGTGAGCTGGTGCAGCTCGTCCAAGGTGAAGGAGTCAGGCATGCCCAGGGGCTTGGTGCGGTCGTAGAAGTAGGAGAAGATGTACACATCCTCGCGGGCGAAAGTCTTCTCCAGAGACGGCTGGTGAACGCCGTTGAAGGAGCAGGGCGCCAGCTTACAGTCAGCATCCTTGTTCAGGATCTTCTCAGTCAAGCCACGGCACTGAGCTGCCGCAGAAGCGCCTTGCTTCGGGCCAACCATCTTCACCGTCACCTTACCGGCGAGCGGGTGGTCGTTGTCAAAGGTCAGCTCGACATCGCGCTCCATACCAGGTCCAATGCAGGGGTTGGAGATCGGCTGCTTCAACCAGGACATATCCACGGGGCTGGCGGCCAACTTGGCATCGACGATCGCCTTGTGTACAGCATCCCGAGCAGCCATCAATCCGTAACCCAAGTGAGAGTGCTGGTAGAGGTCAAAGTGACGACCGCCGAATTGCAGCGAGTACTTGTGGTCACCGTCCGCCAGGTGCTCGGGCATACCGCCCGAGGGGCTCTGGGGGAACGTGGGCTGGAAAACGATCTGAGTGGACCCACCGCCCAGATCAAAGATGGCAGCAGTAGGGGTCTCGTCCGGACCGCCAATCTTACCGAGAAGGTAGTTGGTTGTGATCCAGGCATAGACACCCTCGTCACTGCCATCCATGATCTGCACACCACCCATCTCACGGGAGACAACCGGGAAGGGGTAGACGGTTTCCAGGCGAGTACGCACGGCCTCCAGAATCCTCTGGCTCATCTCGGGGCCAAGCATACGCAGTCCAGCGGTGGCCTTCACGGCAATGGGGGAGCAGGACTGGTAGTCGGCGGGCACAGACTTGAGAGCGACCTGCATCAGAGGGTCCAGACTCTTGGCCGCTCCCTCAGCATCTTCCTTGTAGGCGCTCAGGCCGGAGCCACCCTGTCTCTTCTCGGTTTGCTCGAAGACCTCGTTCTCAAGTTCGGGGGTGGGGCCGCAGTTGTTGAAGCGGTAGACGTGGATGCGAGAACCCTGGCTGCCCGCGTCGATCATAAGCGCATACTGGATCAGAGGCTTGGAGGGGTCATGAGGTTTCGTGCACTTGTCCGTTAGGGGAGCGACACCATTCAACGGTGGCTCTGAGAATTGACCGTCAGTCCAGATCGACTTTCCCCGTTATAGGGGGTGGTCACTTACGGGATCCAATGTTGCTCACTGTGGGCTTGGACGGCGACAGCCACAACAACAGAAGAAGCACTGCACTGACAATAGCACCTGTCTTCAGGTAGCGAGAGCGCTGGCTTTGAGACATCATCATGTGGGATAAACTGCGACGAGATTTGCCGATCGATTTGTCCAAGGCGACTAAGGGAATCGCGGGTTCGGAAACGTGCGACACCGAACGCCTGCTAGGTCTAGAACCTGATGCTGAAAAGGACGATGTACGTGGAGTATGTCGACTGTCAACACCAGTCGACATGCGGACAAAGCCAAGTATTCGGTAAAGGCTGTAGCGTTACGTCCGGCAGACAACGCTCTCGGTATTCCGACCGAGTTGGTATAAAGGGAAAGAAAGACGATTAACGGTAGGAACGAAGAGAAAGCATAGGATCGTCCGGGCGCCTCCGGTGCAGGCCACAAAGATAGTGGGAAGCACAAGACCAACCAACAAATGGAAGGGAGGATGGGGAGGAGGGAAGAGAGAGTGGAAGAGAGGGAGGGAGGAAGAAAGAAAGAATGAGGGTGAGGTGGAGGAGGAGACACGGAGAGAGGCAAATGAAGGCCAGTTAGTACTTGTTCTTAATTATTCTTGGCCTCTCAGGGTCTTTTTTGAAACGAATGGGGGGCTCCGCTTCCGCCTGCTGGCTACCACTGGCTGTAACTGGCTGTAACTGGCTCGATTTGTGGCGTTGGTGTCCCCCCGTGGCTGGTGGGCGGTCGCCGCATGCAGCCAGACTCAGCCCGGCCTCATTATTATTCCCGGACATTGACCTCACCACATGGTCCTCTGCAGCCTATGATACCAACCCTTGGATTTTAATCCCCAGTTCTTCCGTCCCGATCTCGATCTCTGCCCTTGTCCCAATAATCCCTTCGGATTGCTCTCCTCTTTTGTTGTCTGTCGGTGTCAGCGCCGCTGTCACTTTTGGAAATGAAGCACATGCGCCGTCTCGTCCCTCCCACTCGGGCCCTTCGCCAAATCCTCCTCACTCCTCAGCCTGCCTTTCGTCCTCAATTCTTCCAACTCACTCCCCGCATCAATGAAATCCCCGCTCGATTCTACAGCCCGACTACTCCTCTCCACAAGTTCCGCACAAGAGCTACTCCTCGTGCCCTGCCGCAATACATCCTCGACGAAGAGATCGGAGCGCTATATGTCCAAATCGTGAACGAAAACAACAGCCTTGACCCCCCTGTCAGTCTTCGAGATGCTTTGCGACAAATCGACCGTTCAAGTCAAACATTGCAACAGGTGTCACCGGGTAGTGGGGATGGAGTGCCGATTTGCAAGGTTGTAAACAAGTTTGAGCTGCGGGAAATCGCAAAGGCAAAGGCGAAACCCGCCAAGGATGGTCTAAAACAGCTGGAACTGAACTGGGCCATTGATGCTCATGATCTTGCACATCGCTTGAAGCAACTCACAACTTTTCTGGAGAAGGGTCGGAAGGTGGAGCTGATTTTGACGAGAAAGAAGCACAAGCGATCTCCTACTGTGGAGGAGGTCAAGAATCTCATGGACCGGGTCATGGAGACGGTTCGGGAGGCCAAAGCCTTGCCGGTCAGACCCATGGAAGGAGAGCCGGGCAAACATGTGGTGCTGGTGGTGAAGAAGGATGTTTAAGAGGACAAGGAAATATGATGAGTTGATGGAGTTTAGTATGTATACTATTGACGGCCTGAGTGGTATTGGTTCTGTACATATAACGGACCACTCGGTTAATCGGTGCTTGGAAATGCCTTATCAAGCTTTTCTATCACTATTAACATGATGTGTCTTATACCCGATAAAACGATGGTGGCATTATGAGCATGTCAGGTGTCGTGCGATATACTGTACCTTGTATTGCAGCTCTAGCTGTCAGATCGGGATATGGGGCACATGAAAGCGAAGCTATACTACCGGTATCGCGGAAGCTCTGGGGCACGAAGCGTGCATAACCTCGTTATATAAAACAGAGAGATATATATGAGTAAAATCGAAAAAGGATAAAAAAAATAAAGAAAGAAATCAGAATTACCTGTAATCAAATAGCCCGCCTTTGAGTTGTTCTATGCCTGTACCTGGTATACTACGCCATCTCCAACCTTCAAGGTTATTCGTCCCTGGCGACTCCGCAATACTGCAAGTGTGATTGGCTGACGGCTGAGTCAGCGCCTCCCTAAATTTTTCCGGGCTCAACAAGAAGCGCTGCTCGACTTCCCGGCCGTCCAGCTCGTCTTCTTCCTGTTCCCATTCCTGTCCGGTTGTGTTTCCATCGCAGGTTAGCCATCATGTCCAGCCTCGCCAGATCTGCCAACCTCCTTTTCCGCTCTAGCAGGGCCTCCCTGCTGCGCCCCCGCGCTGTCAACCCCATCCAGCATGTCTTCCTCGGCGACAAGCTGGCTGCCCGTGGTATGGCAACCGCTTTCGAGCGTACCAAGCCTCACGTCAACATCGGTAGGTGGCCATCTTCATCTCTTAACGATCCATCAATGCAAGTACTCATTGCTATTCTATAGGTACCATTGGTCACGTCGATCACGGCAAGGTTAGACCACAATTCCCTCCTCCCCCCTCGCTGCGTTGATGTTTTCCCCGATATGGTCCGAAAACTTCTCACACGTTTCCTCTAGACCACCTTGACCGCTGCCATCACCAAGCACCAGGCCTCCAAGGGTCTCGCTCAGTTCCTCGAGTATGGTGCCATTGACAAGGCTCCTGAGGAGCGTAAGCGTGGTATCACCATCTCCTCTGCCCACATCGAGTACGCCACCGACGCTCGTCACTACTCCCACGTCGACTGCCCCGGTCACGCCGATTACATCAAGAACATGATCACTGGTGCCGCCAACATGGACGGTGCTATCATTGTCGTCGCCGCCTCCGACGGTCAGATGTACGTTAACCTTAAAAGAATAACTCTCCTTCAGTATATATGCTTACACTGGCGATCAACAGGCCCCAGACTCGTGAGCACTTGCTGCTTGCTCGTCAGGTCGGTGTCCAGAAGATCGTTGTCTTCGTCAACAAGGTCGATGCCATCGATGACCCCGAGATGCTGGAGCTCGTTGAGCTGGAAATGCGCGAGCTTCTCAGCACCTACGGATTCGAGGGTGAGGAGACCCCCATCGTCTTCGGCTCTGCTCTCTGCGCCATTGAGGACCGCCGCCCCGACATCGGTACCGAGCGTATCGACGCTCTCCTCGAGGCCGTTGACACCTGGATCCCCACTCCCCAGCGTGACCTTGACAAGCCTTTCTTGATGTCCATTGAGGAAGTTTTCTCCATCCCCGGTCGTGGTACCGTCGCCTCCGGCCGTGTCGAGCGTGGTCTCCTGAAGCGTGATAGCGAGGTTGAGATCATCGGTACCACCAACGAGGTCATCAAGACCAAGGTTACCGACATTGAGACCTTCAAGAAGTCCTGCTCCGAGTCCCGCGCTGGTGACAACTCCGGTCTCCTGCTCCGTGGTGTCCGCCGTGAGGATCTCCGCCGTGGTATGGTCATTGCCGCTCCTGGCAGCGCCAAGGCCAACAGCAAGTTCATGGTTTCCATGTACGTTCTGACCGAGGCTGAGGGTGGTCGCCGTACCGGTTTCGGTGTCCAGTACCGTCCCCAGCTGTTCATCCGCACTGCCGGTAAGTAAAATTGCATTCTATTCCGCTACTAGGGAACTGTGTCTGATTCCATTTGCTACAGATGAGGCTGCTGAGTTCAGCTTCCCCGACGGAGACCAGTCCCGCCGTATCATGCCCGGTGACAACGTCGAGATGATCGTCAAGACCCACCGCCCCGTCGCCGCCGAGGCCGGCCAGCGCTTCAACATCCGTGAGGGTGGTCGCACTGTCGCCACTGGTCTGGTCACTCGTGTCCTGGAAGAGTAAATAGCGAACCTGCCGAGGTTCGTCTAGCAGGCCCGGACAACTGGCTGCTGTGTATTATGGGAAAAAACGAAGCGAAAACAAAACTTGGACAGGGAATCGTTCATAATGTTTAAACACCATCTTGCAGCGCGGGCATCAGCGGGAGCATCCGGGACTGATACGCCAGGGTGGTGGATTGCACCGGAGTTCTTGAGTCATATCCATGTATCTGTATTTGTATTGAAATGTCTGTAGACTTTTTTTTGATCTCTTCTCCTCTCTTCTCACTTCTCGGTATGTCGTTGAATATGATTGAATGATTTACTCGAATGTCATCACTGCAAGGTCTTTTGTATATTTATTGTAATCAATAACTGGGGTAGATCAAGACAGACGATCCGATCTATCTACACTACAAAGTAATTATCCCGATCCGGTTGCCCAGATCACGGACTCTCAATAGCCTAAAACGGTTTAACGCGGGATCAGACGATCGCGGCCTGGAGGCTCAGGCGACCAGCAGACTGGCTGGCAACGCAACGGGGGATCAACTCCTGAGGCTGGCCAGAGTGACCACCGCCCGGACTAGAAGCCCTCCTGCCCTCCTTCCTGCCCGGCTTCTTCCAGCTCTCCTCTCTCACACTCGCTTTCCACCAGACCTCGGTGTGGATCCCATTATCGTCTTGTGATTGCCCGTCTCCCATGGTGATCCTCTCTTGACCTCATCCGTCTCGACTCTTCTCCTTCTCCCCTTACCTTCACATCCCGCACCTACTTGCACCTACCCTTTTACTTTCGCCACGCTCTCCGCATCTGACGTTGTTCCAGCGGCGCTCCCCGTCGTTGTCTCATCCCACCCCCGGAAAACAGAACAACTATCCATATCCCATACTCATTCACCAGCACGAAACCTACGCTTTAAGACTACTCTGCGGCAGCAGTGCAACTGACGTCTTCCGTCATGGCAACCAATGGCCACTTTGCCGCCATTGGCAACGGCAGCAGCGACAAGACAGCATATGAACACGGGGTGCAGGTCATCGACGAAAACAAGGAGTTCAAGTAGGTCCTTTCCTCATGTCTATGAGTTCCAATACGACGGTCGTTGTCTGTTACGTCTGGGTTAAGTCTCAGGGGTTCAATTCAGAATGCGACTTTCCGTCATCCGCATCACCTGTTCAGGGGCTTTGGAGCGGCGCATCAGCTAACAACAACTATTCCAGTGCCAATCTGTCCAAATATCTCACTCTGGAGGATGTCACACCAGCCGGCTTCAATTATCACCTCATATCCGTCTTCGGCTCCCAGTCGACGGGAAAGTCGACCCTACTCAACCATCTGTTCGGTACCCAGTTCTCCGTGATGTCCGAGTTGGAACGCCGTCAAACTACCAAGGGTATCTGGATGTCCAAGAATAAGAATGGCGGCGACGGATCAATGTCCGACAACATCTTGGTCATGGATGTTGAGGGTACCGATGGTCGCGAGCGTGGAGAGGACCAGGACTTTGAGCGCAAGAGCGCACTGTTTGCGCTTGCGACGAGTGAGGTCCTCATTGTCAATATCTGGGAGCATCAGGTTGGATTGTATCAGGGTGCCAACATGGGCTTGTTGAAGACTGTTTTTGAAGTCAACATGCAGCTGTTCCTGAAAGATAGGGCGTACGTTTCGCACATTGTTCTACGTGTTGCTTGTGCTTTCTGCTGACCCTTGACCTA